ATCAGGTTACGTTTTCTAACTTATAAATTGTGCTTACGACCGGTCCAAAATAGAAAAACTTTAGCACGCTATTTGTTTCGGACCGACCATTAATGTTGTAAGCACTGATAGAACTGTGAGCGTGAATCGGACCGCGGCCCTAGATGTCGATGGGATCCGGGCTTACTTCTTACTCCGTGTATTGTAGACGGGCCTTGATTGGTCAATTTCTTACTCTTACTTCTTAGGGTGATGTCCCATGCAGCGGATCGTGCGTGAGCGGATTCGCGTATCGTCAATCACAGAATCATTCTCTTAGATCTGTTTGCAAATTTCGCAAACAGATCTAAGAGAATGATTCTGTGATTAGCGATACGCGAATCCGCTTACGCACGATCCGCTGCATGGGACATCACCCTTACTCTGTGTATTGTAGACGATGCCTATTGTAAAAGGCCTATTAAGGCCCGTCTACAATACACGGAGTAAGAAGTAAGAGTAAGGATGCCGTCCCATGTACACGGAATCGGAACGACGGAACGGATTTCTTACTAGAAATAAGTTCACTAGCATTTTGTTCCGTAAGAAGTTTTTCTGCTGTATCGGAACTCGGAACCATCGGAACTATGACCAGAACGGTACAACGGAATCAACGGAATGTTACATCGGTTGCACGGAGTATTAAGAAGGAGTAAAATCTCCATAGGCCGATCGCCTGAAAAGTGGACCCAGTTTCGATTACCAATATGGCGTCAGAGACGACCCACACTTTCCGGTTTGTGACGTCAGCATCTGCGCAATGCTCGCCTTGCAGCAGACAACAATTTTTCGATCAAATAATGATTGTAGAAATAATGATCATAACCTTCACTGATTAAATTTGCCATATCTGCTACAAAAGATCATGTTCAGCATTGGACTTCTTTTCTGAATAATTCTTGCCAACTATCGGAATAGCATTTTGTCTCAATTTCGGTATTATTCTTTCAGTACGATGTACTGTACCATCACTCAATAAAACATCGTTTGAACGAAAAACATCTTTGATGCTGAAATGTTCCTCACAAACAAAACTATGTTCAGTAAGTGGTCTCTTCAATTGACCTAAATTTGCAGTCCAAGGATCCAACAATTTTTTGTCCTAATAATGAAATGAATAATCATAAATGTTGCACATAACCTTATAAAATATAATGAGTATTTTTTTACGTACTTTAGGTGCTCTAAAAAGACTTTTATTCTTAATTCCATTTTTTTTGTTTTGCTTTTTCATATATTCCAGCCCATTTCGGCAATTAAAAACTATACAAACGCGTTTTCCCATTTCTCATGGAGTTTAGACTTACAATAATGAATTTGCTGCAAGGCGAGCATTGCGCAGACGCTGACGTCACAAAGCGGAAAGTGTGGGTTGTCTCTGACGCCATATTGGCAATCGAAACTGGGACCACTTTTAGAAGCGGAGATTTTACTCCTTCTTAATACTCTGTGATCCGTTGCATGTGGCAGATATATGTCGATCGGGTTATTAAAATTAAAATAAAATGAGCAATAACGAAAGACCGGTAATAATAATTTTATACAGTATTTTACCTTGATAATAATGAAATAAGTTAATATTATCAAGTCATCAATAAGGTTAGGGTTAGGTTAGGTTATGACCCCAGCATCGCTACGTCTTCCTTCTGCTCCGATATCTACAATGCTAAAGCAACAATTTGCATCACTCACGGCAAGCAGATTTATACTATGATTGCCTTTATAACTGTACAAAGACGAGCCACTATTTGGTGGTGCCTACAATTAACAATAATAACAGATTTATTTTAAAATAGTTCAAAATATGTTCAAAAAATAGTTGTATCAGATACATGCCTGAATCATAATGTGCTTTCCATCGACAGCTCCAATGCAGTTGGGAAATTGACAAATTCTCTCAAAATTGTCAGCAACTTTTTGCCAATTTTCATCAGTGGATTGTAGAAAAACTCTATCTTTTAATACCTTCCACAATGCAGTGCAAGTCTCCTTTATGATTTTAGAAGCTGTATTTGCTCCAATACGAAATGCATATGAAAAAGATGCCATACTATCACCAGATGCCAACCAGTGTAAAACCAGTTGCAATCTTGTACGAGATGAAATTGGAACTCGGCATAATTCTTGCTTATCAATAAGTGGTCCAACTAATGACAGCAGTTCTTCGAATAATTCCGGAGTCATTCTAAAGTAATTGAAGAACTCCTCACGATCGGTCGTTTGCATTTCAACGACTAAATTGTCACTTGCACCTTGAAGATGTCTCATTCTTTGTGTAAACATTGGCCGTACCCAAAATTTTTGTTTTCTTGTATATTTTTTATTTTGTAATAAAATGTTATAAGCGAAATATAATTTTCGTACTCTCTTAAATATCAGAATAGCACGCCAACTTGGCATATTTCTTGCATTTCGCAATAATTTTAACATCACAGTTAACACTACTTCTTCGTCCATCGTTGTAATCTCCAAAAAAAAGGTTTCTGAATATTTGTTTTAATTTCACATTCAACCATCTGAGGTGAACATACCATTCCGTTCCGTAAGAAGTTTCTCTACCCGTCCCATGTAGCCGGAACGCAATGGAATTTTGGTAACATAATATATCTCACTCTTACAATTCAGTATTTTTAAGTATTCAAAGTAATGTTATAAGTAAGATAATTGCACAAATTATGCATATTACTGCTTTAGTCGCATTAAAATAACGAAATATCGATTAAATTAGGCAAATTAACTTGCGACCGAGGCGACATTCCGTCCATTTTCATTCCGTTCCGGCTACATGGGACGGGTAGAGAAACTTCTTACGGAACGGAATTGTAGTGATCTCAAATTTTCTAGTAAGAAATCCGTTCCGTCGTTCCGATTCCGTGTACATGAGACGGCACCCTAAGAAATTGACCAATCACAGTCGATTATCCTTCTCACATTCGACTGTGATTGGTCAATTTTTTACTCTTACTTCTTACTCCGTGTATTGTAGACGGGCCTTTAGGAATAAAGATTTTAACCTATCAGATATCGGATACACCGGAATATACGGTTTCTGATAGATTGGAATCTTTATTCCTTATTTCTAATTCCTTATTCCTTCTATTGTGGCTGCACCATTATTCTTTTAAGGCCCGTCTACAATACACGGAGTAAGAAGTAAGAGTAAGAAATTGACCAATCACAGTCGAATGTGAGAAGAATAATCGACTGTGATTGGTCAATTTCTTACTCTTACTTCTTACTCTGTGTATTGTAGACGGGCCTTTTAGAATCGGGACCATTCATCAGCGTTGCCAACCGTACGATCTTGATCGTACAAATACGATAATATAGATCTTTGTACGATGTACGATCCAAAGAGTGAGATCGTACGTAAAAGTACGATAATTTGGCAATTTTGATTAAATTTTAAGAGAACACTCTTCGATGATAACCGTCGACAATGTTTTACCGATTGGTCAAATAGCCGCCATCAGCCACAGGCGCTAGAGCAAGGAAAATTCCTAGGCACTGGTCGTTAGATTAGGTTAGGATTAGCTGGTGGACATTGGACAATCACAACATGATCAAACAGGAGGTGCGTTCCGTTTCTCGCATGATGCGCATGATGCATCCATTATCCTTGTTTAACATTTGGTGAGCAACAAGGATAAACGATGCATTATGCGCATCATGCGAGAAACGGAACGCGCCCTAGAACGGTATTTGGTCAGTGAAATCGCGTCCGTTCTGATTCATCTCACATCTATTAATGGCATGAAAAGTACACTTTTTATTAAAAAATTAGAGTCCTATCCGCTTCAGAGAATTGAAACAAGAACTAACTTTGTTTAAAATTTAAATGGTAAGATATACAATAATATATTAGATTAGGGTCGTCGAATTTGTGAGCGGTCACTTGGTCAGTATACTGGCCAGTCCCGTCCTCAAAAGGTTAAAAGTTGTTCCTTATTGTTTTTTTTCTATATAACCAAAATGATTTACGTATGTAATAATTAAAAAAAATATTTTCTAGTGTTTATGTTTCCTATATAGTTCCTGTTACATATAACCAAAGTTAAGTAAATATTTAAGTACTTAAAATTTAAAAAAATGTTCCCTAGTGTTTTATAATTTATATAATTTATGTATAACGAAGAAGACTTATAAATGTAATACTTAAAAAAATTTTCTAGTGAGATTATAATTACAAGTTCTTTGTTTTAAAATTAAAAACTTTAAATTTAAAAATAAATATTTACAAATATTCAGTATTGTTATTTTTTTTTCATTAAAAAATATATCTTTTCAATATAGATCTGTTTGCGTTGCTTGAAACTCAAAAATTTTTATACTTAAAATGAGATAGATACATATTTGGGCGTTAAAAAAAGAGAAAGCGAAGATGCTGAATGCAAAAAGTGCAAGCAATGCGAACAGACCTAATAAATATGTATATCTATCTAACAAAAAAAATGTACGATAATTTTAATCAAAATACGATAATTTTATATTGTTGGTACGATTTTTAATAATGCGGAGGTTGCTGGTTGGCAACGCTGCCATTCATACAAGAAGAAGAAGAAGATTGAACGCACTGAATAATACGAAGAGAACGAGGAAGAAGGCGTAATAGCGATTGATTTGATGGTAACGATAGTTGCTTTCTATTTACATACGAGTAAAATTGAGTCTGAAGTGAGTTGAGTATTTTATACTCAAATTAATGATGTCATTACTTGCTTATTTTGATAAAAAGTTATTACTTAACACAAGATTCATAACCTCACTTTTAAAATGAGTTTACGGGACTCGCTAATAAGGTACACAGTCTCGATCTTGTGCAGATTTAGGTAAAAACTCAGTTAAATCTTACTTGTCATTATGCAAAAGGAATGCGCATTCAACTGAATTATGACCAGACGTCACAAGTAAGAATTATCAGAGAATCGGTGTTAATGTAAAGCAACTACATAATACGTTTCAAATCGCAGCACGAATGCTCATCTGATTCATCTGATGATCTGATCATTCTCTTATAAGGATACAGATACAAGTCAATAGACGAGCAATACCAATTCCAAAAAAAGGTTTACATGTTACGAGAATGGCAAAGCTTAGTTCGTACTATACGCTTTGTCCACTTATCGACCAGCAGAGTTTACTCGGCGTCGAGAAGGATAAGGAACCAGGCTGCGCAATAGTGACTCTCGGCAGGAACATAGTTATACGATATAAGGTTAGAGATTTAACCATCGTATTTTAAATGTATTTATTTAACTGTGGCCTTGAAACATTTTGATGATCCGTATGTATTTCTAGTTACAAGATTTAAAACAGATCAGCAGTTGGTCCAGCAAAGAAAGATTAACGACGCAAGTCATTTATGATAGATTCAAGCAGTGTTACGTTGCTGCCTTTAATGAGAGAAAGATTCGGGTTTGGTCGGAAGAGGAGGCAGACTTGAACAACATAAAGGGATACAAATTTTCGTCCCCGCTTTATGCTATTCTACCACATGGTGACTCGTCACCCATTCTTGTCCAGCAAAACGGAGCTATGGCTTCCCTAGAGTGGGCCATTGACAACAGAAAGACATGGATAAGCAAGGGTATAATTAGGGCTAAGGAGAAATTATGCAACTGTCAGCTGATACATTTAAATGGAAAGACGAGTTTGTTTTGCTTGACGAGAGTAGAAGAGGTCTATAACTATGTAGTAGTTGGATTGGAGGACGGTACCTGTTTAGAGAAAGTGGATACTATCAGAAGGATAGAATTAAAACGAAAGTCAGAGGCTCTCATGGGACATGTTGTAATACATCATAAGAATGATGCATATCTGTTGACTTTATGTATGTATTAAAACCTATCAGGTTCCCCCCTTCCTCTCTTTTTTTAAGATAAAACACGCATGTTTAATATTATGCAATTGTTTCAGGGTCACACGGTAGATTGTATAGTCACTTGTTGACAGGGACGTCTTCCGACATGGAATCTAATAGGTTGATCAGTGTAATTACTAATATCAATACAAAATATCCCATTGTCATGACGCATCTTAACGAGACGACCATAGCGATTTATGGTGCTGATGTCACGGACGAGGGAGCAATACTCATGATATACAATGTACAATTCAAATCAGCGCAAGCGGTGCAGAAGCTAAAACTTTACACCAACGATGCTAAGCTCTGGAAGGTGGAGGACAAATTATTGCTAGCGGCAAACAGACATTTGGCCGTCGCGCCCTATCACTTGGCGCCGCAAAGGATAGCCGCTATGTTGGGCTCGTCTTTGCGCTTCAAAAATGACAACGATAGTAACGATGCAGACGATATTATCGTGATACAGGAAGCAACAGTGGCTCAGTGGGACAAGAATCGAACGTGGGCGAGAAACGCATCAATAGGTCGAGTACCTTTGAATATCTCGAAAAAGGTCTGCGCCTATTTAAACGAGGGATGGAATGATTCCGCGATACAAGAGATCGTGATCCCATTATTGATGGAATCTGGCGATGTCGCGTCGATCTGTTGGTGTCTCGATACGTTTAAAGATTTGCCAGAGAAGTTATTGGTGGATCTTTTGGTATTTACCTTAAAAAGTCCAGACAAAGTATTCGTCTCTCTGCAAAATGGTATGACTGATAGCACATTGAAAGCTAGTAATCCCTATTCCAGAGACAATTTTCTCGACAGAGTGTTTAGTATCAGCTATTCCAGTGTTTCGTTGTTACCTCGTCTGAAAACCGGTTTAACTTTTGACCAAGTACTTAAATTATTGGAATATCTAATGTGTAAATTGAATGAGAAAACGGACTCGCTTGATGATAGTTCACAGCTGAATGATCAACAGTTGTATGAATGGTTCTGTGTGCTTCTCGACTCACACTATCAACATTATTTATTGTCGCAAGATATGCACGTTATGGAGCTTTTCAACCGGCTAGATTCTGTCCTAGAAGAACATGTAAGTATGAAAAATAATTTGCATAATCTTTCATGATCTTATCTACCAACTGTCGGTTTTTTTCTTCCCAGTTTCAGTTTTTGCAAAACCTTGTCAACTTGAGGCCTATGATAGACAGGACAAACAATGGAAAACCATTACGATCTTCTTCGAAAAAATATAATAAATTTTACTCTATAGAAGAAATTAAACTTTATTAAATTATTAAGTAAATGAAAAGACACAACTTTCATATCTTGCATCATAGTGTGTTGAAGATATATGATCTTCATATATTTCTTATGTATTTTTCTATTAATCTTATGCAGAAGATGAATGAATTACTGATAGACGAAAATAATATAAATAATATTGAAAAATGTTGAACTTGATTTTTGACATTATTGGCTGTAATTTTGATATCTTACGTTTCCATTTTCTTTCCGCAATTCTTTGTTACGCTAAACGACAACTAAAATTAAAGTAAATATTCAACCAAACAATTAACTACAGCGATATTCTCTTTTATT